TATGTTCAGTATTCTCGGTCCCTCTGTAGGGCACCTGTGAGACAATTCTATTCCCAATTGTCCATAGTGGTAACCCACTGCTTATCTTGTATTGGTTCTTCTGTCTTCCCTCTCCTTTCCGACTTTCCTGTTTGTTTCTTCTTATCACTATTCAGCTACACCACTTGTGCCAAATACTATGTCTTGGTGTCTGTTTTGGGGAAATTCAAACTAAGACAATGATAACTTCCATAATTACACTTACTCCTAAGTTTCTGAAGTTCCTAAAGCAAACAATGTTCCCAAAGCAAAATTGTACTTAAGATGCTACAACTAAATTGTCAACTTTGTTAATACTGCTTCCAAGAAACAAAGGCTGGTGAAGTAAAGCACACTCTGAGATTATCATGTTCCGTTGACAATTATCTGAGTCAGCTTATCAGTAAGCTGCTTAATGTATCAAAGAGTTTTGCATGTACATTGTACACTAGGCTTCCAAAGAAACTGTTTAACCTTTGTTCAAAGAGGTGCATTTTGAGAACATCAATGCAGTGCACCTGATTATACATACTTCTTATGGAATGAATTGTCAAATCACTGTTGTATACCTCAAACCAATGTAATATTATATGTCAAGTATATTTCAATTTTAAAAAGAGAAATGAATTTAATGACCTGCCTGAAGCATTACACTAAATTAATCTTTCAAGCTGAAGCTTTGGGTACCCCTCCTGTAGACTTGGCCTTACCTTGCGCACTTGAACCAGCTGCCTCCACAGGCAGGTCTTTAAGGAACAGTGGGTTCCTGGCCTCACCTGGGGTACTGTTCTGACTTTGTACCATTCTCCACCAAAGTTGCTGTTCTACTCTTCTTGCCTGTAACCCTGTCCAGTTTCTTTTGTAGTAGACCTTTCAACTAACTTCCTCTACACACAAGTCTGATAATAAATATTTTGGCAATTTAATCATTTTCTTGGTAATATGCTTAGAAATGCAAACTTGATTTTACAGAGATTCTCATAATTATAGTTTATATTATCCAGTCCTCTCATTTGTAGTTGTTACACTTTGATAATATACTCCCTTGGACCTCAGAATACATTATTTTCTATCACAATGTGAGACTCTTAAACTTGTGCCTATTGGGATTAAAGAATGACTTGGGGATAGAGCACAGAGGGCTGTCATAATGACATCAGTGGCGCCATTTGGGAAAAAGAGCTATGAAGTCATACTGTTCTGAACGTAAAATATTTTAGGTAGAATGCTTAATCTACTACCCTTAAAAAATGAAACATCCTGAATTTGATGCTTGAATACCCAGTGTTACTCCTCTCCTCTTTTTTTTCTGTCCATTAGACCAATTGTATAACAGCTTTCAAAAAGGGTAACATGAAGGCAACTTTTAAACTAAATTTAAGAATTAGTTTTCATCCAATTGAGTGAATCTCAGAAACAATGAGTTTTTTTGCCTACCTCCCGTTTTGAATTTTAACATCATAGAAACTTATCGCTTCTCTTCATTAATGATTCCATAAAATGCTATAGCATTTTATTTTCAACCCAGCAAGTCAGAAAAAAATTCACTTAAAAGCTTAATTAAAACCAAATCTACAACAATTAACAACTTTTTCTTCCTCTCAGTATTTCTATTTACCTGTTTGCGTTTCATTTTAATTCTCTTTAGGAGTCTTCCAAAGTTTTCTTAGAGTTAATTACTGGATAACAAAGTCATATGAGTGAGTAACTGAAGAACAGTGTAAGAATTCTCTTATGTGTTCATGCAGTGCTGTGTTACAAAGTTTCTTTTTTACATAATAGTATATTGAAAATGATTATATTTTATAACATACTGGGGTTAACAGAAAAGACTGGTCACTGTTAGATGGATATAACCCCTTGAGGAGTCTGTCTAGTCCAGCCCTTTCCTGAATTTGCAAAGCCCAGTGAGATTGATACCCCAGCATGCCCGTAAACCAACACCGTCCTAGTGTGCTTGACACATTTGTTGAGAAACTCCTCTCTAGTGCTTTATGAGACTTGCTGATTAACCTGCGTACATTTTTCAACTCATGTTTGGGTAATGATTCAGGATGATTTAGGTGTGAAGAGTATATGAAATCTCTCATTTTTCCTTTATTGGAAATGGCTTATATCTTTAAACAATATTTATGATAACTATTATTTTTCTGTAATAAGTGTTAAGGCATCCAAATTTCTCTTCCTTTCTTCTTTCTTTTACCATCTGGTATTAGATAATAACATTACATTTGTATAATGAATTTCTTGAAATTGCTAAATATGTTAGCACATCTTTGTTTAGTTGTAAATTATATACTTTGGTTCCTGAATATAGTAGATAAATAAGTTCATCAACAGACTTCCTTTACCTCAAATAGTTTTTCATTCTTTTCTTTCCAAGTTATTAGTTCTATCTAAACATATTGTCGAAACATATATTTATATTCTGTGTTGTAATTTTAATCCTTAACATTTGTCTTAGATTGTAATACTACACTGAAACAGTGATCTTTGTCAATCCTTTCGCAGTGGTTTTCAAGTCAATTTTTGACTGAAAGTTCTTTCTATACTTGAAGGACAGACAGCCGAAAATAAGCTACTTGATTCACATTTTCTTTCCTTGAGTATCTTGTTCGATTGAATATTACTGTGTGGAAATCTGGGGCTATCCTACTTTTCTCCACTTATAGGCTTATACCATTTTTTTGCTAGGTTACCCAAAGAATGCTTTATCTTTCGATTCTACTAACAATTTTGAAAGAATGTGTCAGCACAAACCACTCTGAATTCATTTTATCTAACACATAATGTACATTTCTTCAATATGCATATTCCAAGTCTTCTTACTTTTTTGTTTCTGGAAGGGTAGAAAAATTTTATTTGGAAAGGATACAAACCTTGTTTTGATTTTCTTTTGGAAAGTGCTATAAATGTGTACATATTGAATGCCCTATGTCTCCTTTGTATTCTTTCTAATATTTTAAAAATAATTTTAAAATAATTTTTATTTTTTAGCTGAGGTATAACATAATTTTATAATAACATAACATTATATTAGTTTCAGGTGTACAACATAATGACTTGATATTTGTACATGCTGTAAAATGATCACCACAGTAAGCCCTGTTACCATCATGACCATACAAAACTTACAATTTTTTTTTTTCTTGGGATGAGAACTTTCAAGATTTACTCCTAGCAGATTTCTAATATGCAGTGCAATATGATTGAGTACAGTCATGGTGCTATACACTACATCCCCATGATTTATTTTATAACTGAAGTTTAGCTTTTGACTCACTTTACTCATTTTGCACTTGCCCAAATCCCCTCACCTCTGAACCGCCAGTATGTTTTCTATATCTATGAGTTCATTTTTGTGTTTGTTCATTTGTTTTGCTTATTAAATAATAATAAGCATTCCATATATAAGCACAATCATATGCTATTTGTCTTTCTCTGACTTATTTCATTTAGCATAATACCTTCAAGGTCCATCCAGATTGTCACAAAAGGCAAGATTTTATTCTTTTTTATGGTTGAATAGTATTCCTTTGAGTATATGTGTGTACACATTTATCCATTCATTCATTGGTGGGTACTTAGTTTGTTTCCGTATCTTAGTTATTATAAATAATACTGTATAGATCTTTTCAAATTAGTGTTTTCATTTTCTTTGGATGAATATCCAGAGTGGAATTGTATCATATGGTATTTCTGGTTTTAATTTTTTGACACATTTATCCATTCATTCATTGGTGGGCACTTAGTTGTTTCCATATCTTAGTTATTATAAATAATACTGTACAGATCTTCTCAAATTAGTGTTTTCATTTTCTTTGGATGAATATCCAGAGTGGAATTGTATCATATGGTATTTCTGGTTTTAATTTTTTGAGGAACTTCATACTGTTTTCAATAGTGACTACATCAATTTACATTCCCACTAACAGTGCCCAATGGTTCCCTTTTCTCCATATCCTCACCAACACTTGTTATGTCTTACTATTTTGATAATAGTTAGTTTTATAGGTTTGGGATAATTTTGATTGTGGTTTGATTTGCATTTCCCTAATGATTAGTGATGTTAAGCATCTTTTCATGTGTCCATTGGCCATCTGTATGTCTTCTCTGGAAAAATGTCTATTCAGGACTGCCACCCATTTTTAACCAGATTGTTTGGGTTTTTGTTTTTCTGTGGAGTTGTATGAGTTGTTTATGTATTTTGTATATTAACCCTTTATTGGATATATAACTTACAAGTATTTTCTCCCACCCAGTAAGTTTTGCCTTTTCATTTTGTTGGTTTCCTCTATTGTGCAGAAGCATAGTAGTCTGACGTAGTCCCACTTGTTTTTGCTTCTGTTGTCTTTGCTTTTGGGGTCAGATCCAAAATATCATCACTGTTTACTAGTTATAACAGTATTTTTTTGTGGAGTCTTTAGTTTTCTACATATAAAATGAAGTTGTTTGAATGCAGTGACAGTTTTACATCTTCCTTTCCAATCTGGATGCCCTTTATTTCCTTTTCGGGCCGAATTGCTCTGGGTAGGACTCCCAACACTATGTTGAATGAAAGTGGAGGGAGGGACTCCAGGCCCTCCCCGGCCCCCCCCGGACAGGAGCCCCGTGCTCCCACCGCCCGCCTGCTGCTCTGAGCCGCGGAGGCGGCGGGCGGCACGCGCGAGTGAGATGCGGCCGCGGGCAGCCGGGGCGCGGGCAGCGGCAGCCGCTGCAGCGGGGAAGGCAGGCGCGGCCTCCTCCGCGCGGAGCGCGCAGTGCGTGGGGGCGAGTCCGCGGGCACCGGGCAGCCGCCGGCCACGCCGCCTGCATACACACTTGTTTAGGCCTCTTTAGCCCTGCCAAGGTACCGACTCCCCCTCCGTGGAGGCCCCTCCGGACCCCGGGCCCCACGCCTCAGCCTCGTTCGCGGCCGCTGCGCCCCGAAGTGGTGCGGCTCCTTGAGGAGCAGGAAAAGATGTAAGAAAAACAATAGACGATTTTTTTAAAGTGACAAAAATTTTGAATTCAGAGTTGAATTCACAGATTTGCAGAAAATGAGTGATGCTGCAGGTGATATTGTTGACAGAAGAAATTAAAAGTGGCTTTGAGTTTAAAGCAAAACACCGAATTGCTCATAAACCTCACTCCAACCCAAAACCTTCAGATATTTTTGAAGCAGATTTTGCCAACGATGTGAAATCCAGGGATTTGCTTGCTGATAAGAAACGGTGTGGGCTTGACTTGAAGAAAGAGACAAGAATTGCTGGGTGAACCGGATAGCAAGCCTGATGCTGTGACGGCAAAGAGAAGATCCAACATCTGAGGAGGAAAAGGAAGATTGGAACATAAATGTGGATGTGTTGCACCAAGCAACGGGCCCTGTTACTCCCAGCGGTTGTTGTAAGGATGTTACAAATTCAGAACTCTTCAATTGTCACGTGAACAGTCAATTGAACTGTTCAATGAATGGTTCAAATTCTTATCACAGTCATGAGGAGGAGGAGGATGGTGGTAATAAAAATGGCCATGATGCATTGGGGGCTGAGTAATGCTGTACCAACAATCACACTGTCGAACCTAAGAGGGTCCGAATAAATACTTGGAAAAATACGACTTTAAAATTCAGTGACAAGAAAGAAGCTAAGTGTAAATGAAAGAACAGCTCTGGCAGTGGTCATTCTGCTCAAGAGCTGCTTACTATCCGGGCTCCTGCTGACATTTATACAGCCTTTGTTGATGTTGTGAGTGGAGAGTATGTCCCTCCTAAGTCAATCCTGAAGTGTCGCAGCAGGGAGAACAGTGTTTGCAGTGATACCAGCGAAAGCAGTGCTGCTAACTTCAATGACAGGAGGGGCATTTTGAGGAGCATTAGCTGTGAAGAGGTTACTTGTAGTGACACCAGTGAGAGCGTTTTAGAGGAAGAGCACAAAAACCATCAAAAGAAACTTTTGCCCTTATCAGGGACACCTGAGGCTTTTTCTGGAACTGTGATAGAAAAAGAATGTGTATCACCCTCCTTAACACCACACCCAGCCATGGTTATCCTGTGCTACCCACTATTCCAGAACGAAAAGAAGTTCTGTCAGAAGTATCAGAAAAAACTACAAAGAGAGTTTCAAAGTTCAGAGCTGCCAGAATGCAGCAGAAAAACTAGGCCTGCCTAGGAAATGGGAGTTTACATCCTAGAACCCAGTTTTGCATCTCTTTAGAATATGTATTGCAAAATACATGTAGTATGAAATAAGGCATCCTGAATTAATTTGGCAGCAGGTTCTCTTTTATCAGTGGTGTTAAACAAAATCAAAGTAAATGTTTGAATTCCTTAATATTCAACTTGTTTTTTTAATTCTCTTAATATTGTCAACACTGTTGTCTAAGTTCGCCTTATGAAGCAATGGAAGTATTTCAAATTATTTTTCAAAGAATATGTTCATATGCATTGTTTTTGTGTTTTGAACTAATTACAGGCAGTTTTGTACCAGCTGTGAAGTTGTGCATACCATATGGACTATTTTAAAGAAATTCTTTAAATTTCAGAGAGATTCTACAATTATATTACTTGCTTGAGCATTTTAAAGACACCTTAAAACATCTACTACTTCTAGGTTTTGCAGCTAGGTGGCTATTTAAAAAAACCTCTCCCCTTTGACTGTCATCTATCATCTCTGTGGCAAAAAAGCTACATGTACCCATGGGAAAGTTCTTTGATTGGAAGAATAATGGTATTTTGTAAAACAATTTTTTCAAGTAAAACTTTTATGAAACTTGGTCTCTAAAAAAAAAAAGTGGAGAGAGTGTGCATCCTTGTCTTATTCCTGATGTTAGAGGAAAAGCTTTGATCTTTTCACCATTGAATATAATGTCAGCTCTGGGTTTGTCATATATGTCCTTTAATATGTTCAGGTACATTCCCTCCATAGCCACTTTATTGAACGTTTTTATCATAAATGGGTGTTGAATTTTGTCAAATGCTTTTTCTGCATCTGTTGTAATTATTATATGACTTTCATCCTTCAATTTAGCAAACCATACCTGAAATAAATCCCACTTTATTAGGATGTATGATCTTTTCAATGTATTGTTGAATTCATTTTGCTAATATTTTCATGAGGATTTTTTGCATCTGTGCTCGTTAGGGTTATTAGCCTAGAGTTGTCTTTTTGTATGGTGTACTTGTCTGGTTTTGTTATGAGGGTAATGCTGATCTCATAAAATGAATTTGGAAGCATTCCCTCCTCTTAAGTTTTTTGGAAGAATATAAGAAGGAAAGGTATTAACTCTTTCATTATTTGGTAGAATTTGCCAGCAAAGTCGTCTGGTCTTTGGCTTTGTTGGGAGTTTTCTGATTACTGATTCAGAATCTCCTTCATGAATTCAGTCTGAGAAGATTGTATGTTTCTAGGGATTTGTCCATTTCTTCTAGGTTGTCCAATTTGTTGGCTATAATTGTAGCTGTTTCTCACAATCCTTTGAGTCTTTGGTATAGTTATGATGTCTCCTCTTATTTTTTTGAGTCCTCTTTCTTTTCTCCTCTCTAAGTCTACATAAAGGTTTATCGTTTTTTTAAAAATCTTTTCAAAGAACCTGCTCTTAGTTTCAATGCCCTTTTCTATTGCTTTTTTGTCTTCATTTCATTTATTTCTGCACTTTATTATTTCTTCCCTTTTACTGACTCTGGGCTTTGTTTTCCTTTTACCTAGTTCCTTTAGGGTACAGGGTTAGATTGCTTATTGGAGATCTTTCTTGTTTTTTGAGGTATCTCTATAAACTTCCTTCTTAGAACTGATTTCCTGTATCCCAATCATTGTGTTTCTATTTTCATTAGTCTCCAGGTATTTTTTGATTTTCTCTTTATTTGCTGAACCTTTCATTAGGCGTGTGTGGTTTAGTCTCCACATGTTTGTGTTTTCTCTAGTTTTCTTCTGTAACTGATTTCCAGTTTTATTCTGTTGTGGTTGGAAAAGATATGATTTCGGTCTTCTTAAATATTCTTAAATTTATGAAGACCTATTTTGTGGCCAAACATGTGGTCTATCATTAAGAAAGTTCCATGTGCATTTGAAAAGAATATGTGTTCTGCTGTTGGAAGGACTGCACTCTGTGTATCTGTTAAGTCCATCTGATTAATGTGTCATTTAAAGCCAATGTTTCCTTATTGATTTTCAATCTAGGTGATCTGTCCATTGACATGAGATATTAAAATCCCCTACTATTATTGTATTGCTGTCAGTTTCTCCCTATATGCCTGTTAACTGTCACTTTATATATTTGGGTGCTCCTACATTAGGTGCATAAATATTTTTAAATGTTATACTTTCTTTTTGGATTGATCCCCTTATCATTATGTAATGCCCTTGTCTTTTTTACAGTCTTTGGTTTAAAGTCTATTTTGTCTGATATAATTACTGCTACCCCATCTTCCTTTTCATTTCCATTTGCATGGAATAACTTTTTCCATAACTTCACTTTGAATTTCTGTGTATCTCTAGATATGAAGTGAATCTTTTGTAGAGAGATGGGTGTTGTTTTTATCCATTCAGCCATCCTATGTGTTTTGATTGGGGCATTTAGGCCATTTACATTTACTGTAATCATTGATAGGTATGCACTTAACTGCGATTTTGTTGATTGTTTTCTGATTGGTTTGATAGTTCTTCTCTGTTCCTTTCTTCTCTTGCTCTTTTGTGGTTTGGTGTTTTTCTTTAATGTTATGGCTAGATTCCTTTTGTGACTGGGCAGTGTGCATGGTGGATCTCCTGGGTTCTTGTCTTGAAGGAAAGAATTCAGTTTAGAGACCCAATAGACAGTTAAAGCTGCAGGGTGTTTTTATTTAGCAAAGCAAAAGGCAGTACACTCCTGAGACTGAGAAGCAGGCTGACCCCAAGGGTGGGTAGCCACTCATTAGGCTTTACATTGTGTCTTTTATGGGGTTTATTTGGTTTCCTCCCTCCCATTTTATCATTCTCACACGGTCTTTTGGATGTTGTTTCCTCCTCTTCAGCCTCTTTGTACAAGTTGTGTTTGTCATTGAACATCCAAGAGAGATGCATGGTGGGGTCAAAACTTTAATGTAAATGATACAATAATGATATGGTGGCATCAGGGTCATTAACAACAAGGTCTTCCATAAGTGCATATGCTCTAAAATCAGGAAGGTCCCAGTAACCGTATCTTCTGTTTATCAGTTTGTGCTGAACCACTGAACGGGTTGGTCTGAAGGAGACAGGGCGGTCTCTGGCCAGAGACTGGGTGGGCGGCTGCCTTCCTCTCTCCTCTCCTGCTCCTGTCTCTCTAACTGCCTACTTTTTTTTGTGTTATCTGTTATGTGTTTTTGGTTTGTGGTTAGTATGAGATTCATATATGCCAAGCTACGTGTGTGTGTGTGTGTGTGTGTGTCCATCCTCTTCTCAAAGGAAAGAATTCCAGATACAGAGTTAAAGCCACAGGAGTTTTTAATCTAGCACATGTATGTAAGACACTCTGTTTTCAGTTGCCTGAGAAAATCCCACCAGGCCCCAGCCCCTCCAGCAGACTATTTCAGATTACCAAATGAATCTGCTTCTCATACAGTCTGGACGTTTTTCAAACTGCTGCTTTTGCACTGGTCCCAGGGTCAACGAGTTTATGTGTGAACCCTTGAAAATCAGAATCTCAATTTCCTATAGCCTTTTGAGTCTCCTTGAAATAAGTCCCATTGTTTTTCAAAGCAGATGTTTTGGGGGGTCATCTTTCCAGTGCAGGTCACAAAGATTGGGTACCTGACGTGGGGCACAGACCCTTTGCTCTGTGGAGAGGTCCGCATATGTGAGCTCCTCCTCACTGTGGGTCACTGCCCTGGAAGGAGGGCTGTTGTTAAGACTGTCTCTGCCTCTCCTTCCATCTCAGTGTGGCCCTTTCATCGTCTGTTCAGAGGAGCTATTCAGCTAGTGTCCAGGTCTTTTTCCGAGGGAATGCTCCTGTATGTAGCTGTAGCTTTGGTGTATCCATGGGAGAAGGTGAATTCAGGCCCTTCTTATGCCTCCATCTTAAACCACCTCCCCTCTCTATCATTCTTTACTGTTCAGTTCTATTTCTTTTTGGTTGCATTGTAAATTACATTTGCATAATGTTTGTTTCTTTTGTGTGCTGTCCAATATTGTTTTCAATTCTGAGGTTCCCCTTTTCATTCCTCCTAACTTGTGTCAGACTCAGATTATCACTCTGCTCAAAGCCCACGTCATCTTGATTTCTAAGAGTTTACACACTGTTCTTTTCTATTACCTCCCTAAGTGTCTACTCCTCTCATTTTTTTTCAGTTCCAGAACACTTCTTTTTGGTGTTCCTGGAATGGGCCAGCCATGCTCTTGGCAATGTTTTCATCTCAGATGTTGGGATTCCAGATTGTCTCAGTTCCTTCAGGCCTTTTCCTACAAAGTCATAGTGAAACCTTCCCTGGCTACCCAATCTGCAATTTCAGTCCTCTTCCAAAATGTCATATCCCCCTCTTTTTTCTTCTTAGCTTCCAACACTATCTCTTTTTTTTTTGGTATCATTAATCTATAATTACAGAAAGAACATTATGTTTACTTGGTTCCCCCCTTCACCAAGTCCCCCCACCCCCATATACCCCTTCACAGTCACTGTCCATCTGCATAGTAAGATGTGGTAAAATCACTACTTGTCTTCTCTGTGTTGTGCAACCCTCCCTGTGCCCCCCACGCACTATACATGCTAATCGTAATGCCCTCTTTCTTTTTCCCCACCCATATCCCTCCCTTCCCACCCATCGTCCCCAGTCCCTTTCCCTTTGGTAACTATTAGTCCATTCTTGGGTTCTGTGATTCTGCTGTTGTTTTGTTCCTTCAGTTTTCCTTTGTTCTTATACTCCACATTTGAGTGAAATCATTTGGTATTTGTCCTTCTCCACCTGGCTTAGTTCACTGAGCATAATACCCTCTAGCTCCATCCATGTTGTTGCGAACAGTAGGATCTGTTTTTTTCTTGTGGCTGCGTAATATTCCATTGTGTATATGTACCATGTCTTCTTTATCCATTCATCTACTGATGGACATTTAGGTTGCTTCCATATCTTGGCTATTGTAAA